CGTGGAGAACATTCTGCTGCCTGCAACATCCTCCAGCATGACCGGTTTGGCGGTGGGTCAGTCATGGTGTGGGGTGGAATTTCTTTGGGGGGCCGCACAGCCCTCCATGTGCTCGCCAGAGGTAGCCTGACTGCCATTAGGTACCGAGATGAGATCCTCAGACCCCTTGTGAGACCATATGCTGGTGCGGTTGGCCCTGGGTTCCTCCTAATGCAAGACAATGCTAGACCTCATGTGGCTGGAGTGTGTCAGCAGTTCCTGCAAGAGGAAGGCATTGATGCTATGGACTGGCCCACCCGTTCCCCAGACCTGAATCCAATTGAGCACATCTGGGACATCATGTCTCGCTCCATCCACCAACGCCACGTTGCACCACAGACTGTCCAGGAGTTGGCGGATGCTTTAGTCCAGGTCTGGGAGGAGATCCCTCAGGAGACCATCCGCCACCTCATCAGGAGCATGCCCAGGCGTTGTAGGGAGGTCATACAGGCACGTGGAGGCCATACACACTACTGAGCCTAATTTTGACTTGTTTTAAGGACATTACATCAAAGTTGGATCAGCCTGTAGTGTGGTTTTCCACTTTAATTTTGAGGGTGACTCCATATCCAGACCTCCATGGGTTGATACATTTGATTTCCATTGATAATTTTTGTGTGATTTTGTTGTCAGCACATTCAACTATGTAAAGAAAAAAGTATTTAATAAGATTATTTCATTCATTCAGATCTAGGATGTGTTATTTTTGTGTTCCCTTTATTTTTTTGAGCAGTGTATATTCTTATGAGGGCAAATTCTATGTGATCATCATAGAGGGGAACACAAGGCACGTCCATTCTCCTGAGAGTCTTAGCTTTCAGGAATGTGGTCATATTAGCTGAAAGCCAAAACGGTTCAAATGCTACATTCAAAGTTGGAAGAAAATAAATTAAACATGCCACATTGGCTTCAGAAACTGCCAGAAGTTTCTGTTGACCACAGTGAGCGTTTGATTCTATCTGTTCTCCTCTACCTTTCCTGGCTAGAAAAGTACCAGGATGTTGTCTCTGGTTTTGAATGTGAATTTAGAGAACAGAACTTGAAAACTGAATCTGAATGCGTCTGAAAAGTTGAATATATGAAACTCTGATAAACTTGAAATTATGGTTTGCAAACTTGATGCACAGACAATTAATGCAATAGCTACCATATTGAAACTGAATATATAAATATTGAACTTGAATATTCGAATAAATTGAATTTGTAAACTGAACACCATATTAATTCAATTCCGTTTCAAATCATAACTTACAAGTTTCATTTGATGAATTCAATGATATAATTTGTGCATTACAAATTCAAAATTATGGAATTCAAATACAATTTCTGTTGGCACCGAAATCGCTCCATACAGGGAGCATAGCATAGGTGTTATGCCCATTAAACATGAGGGGGCTCATTCCATTTGTTGGATAAAAATATACGCAGAATTTAATAGATATTACATTTGGCTATAAGTGCCTCCTTGAAACAAATTAGATGCATGATGCTTCTGCCAGGGAGACTAACGGGGGAAGGAGAAGCTGTGAGGCCTATAGCAGGTTGTCAAAGCTGAAGAGCATGGTACTGTATATGGACTTTACAGCAAAAAAATACATCAAAGATACGTGTGTAGTGGATGGCTAAGTTACAGTAGCATCGACCTGTTGGAGTAGCATAGCTACTGCCTTACCCAGACCTGTTGGAGTAGCATCGATACTGCCTTCCCCAGACCTGTTGGAGTAGCAGCGATACTGCCTTCCCCAGACCTGTTGGAGTAGCAGTGATACTGCCTTCCCCAGACCTGTTGGAGTAGCAGTGATACTGCCTTCCCCAGACCTGTTGGAGTAGCAGTGATACTGCCTTCCCCAGACCTGTTGGAGTAGCAGCGATACTGCCTTCCCCAGACCTGTTGGAGTAGCATCGATACTGCCTTCCCCAGATCTGTTGGAGTAGCAGCGATACTGCCTTCCCCAGACCTGTTGGAGTAGCAGCGATACTGCCTTCCCCAGACCTGTTGGAGTAGCATCGATACTGCCTTCCCCAGACCTGTTGGAGTAGCAGTGATACTGCCTTCCCCAGACCTGTTGGAGTAGCATCGATACTGCCTTCCCCAGATCTGTTGGAGTAGCATCGATACTGCCTTCCCCAGACCTGTTGGAGTAGCAGCGATACTGCCTTCCCCAGACCTGTTGGAGTAGCATCGATACTGCCTTCCCCAGACCTGTTGGAGTAGCAGTGATACTGCCTTCCCCAGACCTGTTGGAGTAGCATCGATACTGCCTTCCCTAGATCTGTTGGCGTAGCATCGATACTGCCTTCCCCAGACCTGTTGGAATAGCATCGATACTGCCTTCCCCAGACCTGTTGGAGTAGCATCGATACTGCCTTCCCTAGATCTGTTGGAGTAGCATCGATACTGCCTTCCCTTGACCTGTTGGAGACCTGCAAGTCCTTTTATCGATGTGCAATAGGGGCGGTCCTCGTCTCCCAGTAGTCCTCAGGTGAAGGAGCATTCCCTGTGCACACAGTTGAACTCTCCAGAGAATATCCAGTCTGGGTAAAGATAAACCTTCCCTATAGTCCCATATCCAGTCTGGGTAAAGATAAACCTTCCCTATAGTCCCATATCCAGTCTGGGTAAAGATAAACCTTCCCTATAGTCCCATATCCAGTCTGGGTAAAGATAAACCTTCCCTATAGTCCCATATCCAGTCTGGGTAAAGATAAACCTTCCCTATAGTCCCATATCCAGTCTGGGTAAAGATAAACCTTCCCTATAGTCCCATATCCAGTCTGGGTAAAGATAAACCTTCCCTATAGTCCCATATCCAGTCTGGGTAAAGATAAACCTTCCCTATAGTCCCATATCCAGTCTGGGTAAAGATAAACCTTCCCTATAGTCCCATATCCAGTCTGGGTAAAGATAAACCTTCCCTATAGTCCCATATCCAGTCTGGGTAAAGATAAACCTTCCCTATAGTCCCATATCCAGTCTGGGTAAAGATAAACCTTCCCTATAGTCCCATATCCAGTCTGGGTAAAGATAAACCTTCCCTATAGTCCCATATCCAGTCTGGGTAAAGATAAACCTTCCCTATAGTCCCTAATTGAGCCAGAATAACAGAACAGTTCCCTGTATACACAGTTTATACATTGTTTCAGCTCTCTAAAACATTCCAGCGTGTCTTGGGAGACTATCAGTTCCACAGAGGGCTCCTTGGTAGAGCCAGAATAACAGAACAATATCCTGCAGGGAGGCCTGTCTGCTGTCTATCAGCTGTCAGTGTGACTGAGGAGGATCGTGAGACAGAGGTCCATACGTACTGCAGCTCACCTGAGACTCTGGTCTTAATTATGAGAACACTAGCTGGGAAGGAACGTTACATTAAAGGGTCAGACTGCAGTTCAAACAATAACAAAACCCATCACCCCGCCACATGTTTTGGTAAACAGCTGAGGGATGGGGTTTGAGAAATATAGCCACTCTCAAATTCATAGACAGAGCTATGGGTGCAAGGACTGACCATCCATGACATCAACATTATAGTTTTGACCATGTTTTTAAACTACACAGTGTTTGTTTACATTGACTTTGTTTACAAACATTGGAGTAAAACCAGCTTATATTTTGGGTTCTGATGGGGTACAACAGTTGAACTAAGCTCATGAAGCATTTAGACATTTTATTCTGCAAGAATCAATGGCTATATATCATTCATTTAACAATCCAAAAAAGATTGTAGCGACTCCGGGTTGGCCCTTTAAAGGCCTAATGCAGCCGTTTTTATCTCAATATCAAATCATTTCTGAGTAATAATTAAGTACCTTACTGTAATAGTTGTACATTAATAGTGGTCAAAAAGAAACAAAAATAGCTTTTTAGCAACAACAAAAAAATCTCAAGTAATCATTTTGCTTGGACTGTCTGGGAGTGGTCTGAATGAAGTTTGGAACTCTCTTTGTCATTGGTCTATTACAACTTATACCGTGATGTCACCAGGCAAGCCAAAACTCCATCCTTGCAAAACCCTGCTGATTAGAAGGTAGATTGTATTTTCAACCTGCAGCTACTAGGAAATAACACTAATACATTTTTTTCACACCTTTACAGTGTTAGTTTCATCAGCTGTTGTACAATTTGATACAAAAACACAGGGAAAACTGCATTTTGACTGCACTGGGCCTTTAAAGCATGGAATAAAGTGCTATACCATGATTTTAAGGGGACTATATATACAGATATATTTGATATGATGAAGACCTTGGCTAATGGAAGCATACTTAGCCGCAACCGGGAGACCAATGGGGCGGCGCACAATTGGTCCAGGGTAGGGGAGGGAATGGGAGGTAGCTCAGTTGGTAGAGCATGGCGTTTGCAACGCCAGGGTTGTGGGTTCGATTCCCATGGGGGGCCAGTATGAAAATAAAAAAAGAATAATGTATGCACTAACTGTAAGTCGCTCTGGATAAGAGTGTCTGCTAAATGACGTAAATGTAATGTAATGTACTTTTGATGCTTAATCCATTAGTTGTGGATCAGTTCGTCACGATAAGGTTAAACTAGGATTTTGGAGATTAACATTAATACAGCCATCTAAATTAGTTGAATCTTGAGATTTTACTATGGACATTTGTTGGATAATTTATGCATGAAGTTGATTATTCATGATAGTTCACATTTAACTGCCAATGTGTATATCTATTAGTGATGGACCATGGTTGCCATGGTTGCCCACCACTCCTGTCCAATTTAACCCTCAGTAATAATGTATTATGTATAAGTCGCTCTGGATAAGAGCGTCTGCTAAATGATGTAAATGTAAATGTATACTAGATCCATTCATGAATACATTCATTAATACGTGCCTGTTTATCTTTAAATCACATTTTGTTTCCACTTTTATTCAGACTTTTTTTTTTTTATCTCCATCAGTCTTGTTCAATCTGACCTCTGACCTCTGCTGTGTGTAAAGTAAACCATGGAGGATCCTCTCTTTCTATACTCAGCACTCAACACCACCAGTCTCCCCACTGCTCTCCCCCTCAACGTCATGATCAACCCCATGAACAACAGTACTGTTACTGACCTCATGACCAACGCTACGTTCAAACCCTTCAATGTGTGTGAAGAGATGGTGGCAGGGATCCTCTTCGACCTGACTGTTCAGACCTTCAACGTGATCCTGGGACTCCCTGCTAACATCTTAGGTAGGTTAGAGAGGTTAGAGCAGCGCACCAGTAGCCGGAAGGTTGCTGATTCAAATCCCAGGTACCATCTTGTACCATTGTGGCCTTGAGCAAGGCCCTTAACCTTTACATAACTCCAGGAGCATTGCCCCTGATCCTATACTCCTTCCACTGTGTTTGTATTTACATAACTCCAGGAGCATCGCCCCTGATCCTATACTCCTTCCACTGTGTTTGTATTTACATAACTCCAGGAGCATCGCCCCTGATCCTATACTCCTTCCACTGTGTTTGTATTTACATAACTCCAGGAGCATCGCCCCTGATCCTATACTCCTTCCACTGTGTTTGTATTTACATAACTCCAGGAGCATTGCCCCTGATCCTATACTCCTTCCAGTGTATTTGTATTTTGGGTATCGGGAGCAGAGAAATGAACTAATATCCGTCTCTGATGGACTAAGAAACTAGCTAATAAAATCTTTGTCTGGCCTTGTGTTAGTCCTGGTGATTCTGCTCCGGAGCCGTAAGGAGCCGTCCTCCTCAGACATCTTTCTTGGCTGTCTGGCCTTCATGGACGCTTACTTCGGCATCATGGTCCCCTTCAGCTATCTGAACTTCTACTACTGGCACAGCAAGGACGTCTGGTCCGCTCTCAAGTTCTCCTACGGCGTCAAGGTAAAGGAGAATTTCAGTGTATCTGGATTCTGGAATTTCTGCGTCTGATATTGTACCCTATTCCCTACATAGCACACTACTTCTGACCAGAGCCCTATGGACACCCCTATGGACACCCCTATGGGCAACCCTATGGACACCCCTATGGACACCCCTATGGTCACCCCTATGGACACCCCTATGGTCACCCCTATGGACACCCCTATGGACACCCCTATGGACACCCCAATGGGCACCCCTATGGACACCCCTATGGACACCCCTATGGTCACCCCTATGGACACCCCTATGGACACCCCTATGGGCACCCCTATGGGCACCCCTATGGTCACCGGTCAAAAGTACACGATATAGGGAATACACACTATGTCGCAGAGGTTGCATCAAAAATGACACTAAATTCCCTCTATAGTGCTCTATGGACACTGGTCAAAAGTGTGCACTATGTAGGGACTATGGGGCCATTATTTCATACTCACATCTGACAATAAAGTCAACTTTTTCACCTCCTACTCCTCCTTCCTCCTCCTTCCTCTTCTCATCCTTCTCCTCCCCCTCCGCCTCATTCTCCTCCTCCTTTCTCTTCTCCTTTTCCTCCTCTTTCTCCACTTTCTTCTCCTCCAGGACGCCAGCGGTCCTCTGTTCCTGTCCTGTCTCTGTTTGGATCGGTTCGTGGCGGTCCTCTGTTCCTGTCCTGTATCTGTTTGGATCGGTTCGTGGCGGTCCTCTGTTCTGTCTGTATTTGTTTGGATCGGTTCGTGGCGGTCCTCTGTTCCTGTCCTGTATCTGTTTGGATCGGTTCGTGGCGGTCCTCTGTTCCTGTCCTGTATCTGTTTGGATCGGTTCGTGGCGGTCCTCTGTTCCTGTCCTGTATCTGTTTGGATCGGTTCGTGGCGGTCCTCTGTTCCTGTCCTGTATCTGTTTGGATCGGTTCGTGGCAGTCCTCTGTTCCTGTCCTGTATCTGTTTGGATCGGTTCGTGGCGGTCCTCTGTCCTGTCCTGTATCTGTTTGGATCGGTTCGTGGCGGTCCTCTGTTCCTGTCCTGTACTGTTTGGATCGGTTCGTGGCGGTCCTCTGTTCCTGTCCTGTATCTGTTTGGATCGGTTCGTGGCGGTCCTCTGTTCCTGTCCTGTATCTGTTTGGATCGGTTCGTGGCGGTCCTCTTCCCACTCGCCTACGGCCAGCTGAAGGATACCAAGTACAGGGTGGCTCTCTCTGCGGTGGTCCTGGGGCTCACCTTCACCTACGCCTCCGCCAAGACCGTCGGGGGCCTGCCCAACTTCGAGAAGGTAAATCCATAGATCAATCAATTAATCAATCAATTAATCAAGCAATCACACTTTTTTGCATAGCACATATTGGACAAAAGTAGAAATACAATGCACTTCACACTATAAAATAATTACAATTACATAAATAAATAAAAACAATCTGATACCAGGCCTAATGAAAGGAAAGGGAATAAAACAATCTGAGACCAGGCCTAATGAAAGGAAAGGGAATAAAACAATCTGAGACCAGGCCTAATGAAAGGAAAGGGAATAAAAAATCTGAGACCAGGCCTAATGAAAGGAAAGGGAATAAAACAATCTGAGACCAGGCCTAATGAAAGGAAAGGGAATAAAACAATCTGATCTGAGACCAGGCCTAATGAAAGGAAAGGGAATAAAACAATCTGAGACCAGGCCTAATGAAAGGAAAGGGAATAAAACAATCTGAGACCAGGCCTAATGAAAGGAAAGGGAAATAAAACAATCTGAGACCAGGCCTAATGAAAGGAAAGGGAATAAAACAATCTGAGACCAGGCCTAATGAAAGGAAAGGGAATAAAACAATCTGAGACCAGGCCTAATGAAAGGAAAGGGAATAAAACAATCTGAGACCAGGCCTAATGAAAGGAAAGGGAATAAAACAATCTGAGACCAGGCCTAATGAAAGGAAAGATAATAAAAGCACGGCTAAAAAGGTGCATTAAAAAGTTTCTTTAAAAAATTTCCACTTCTGCTACCCTCAGGTGTTGACATGGACGATCCTGGCAACGTTTGCCTGGATGGTGTTTTGTAACGGGGCCATCCTGGTGGCCCTGAAGAGTTCTGGTGGCTCTGGGAAGGACAACATGCACCCCATGAAGAAGAAAGCCTTCAAGATTGTGATGTCGGTCCTGTCCATCATCGTGTTCCCTTTTGAGGTGATGACCTGTGTGCATAGAAACTGAGGAGACTCATTGACTTCCATTCTAGTGATTCCATTTATATGGTTGTCCTTAATGATGTTGCCTGATGTATAAAGGTACATTCCAACATGACTTGTCAACAGGGTTGGACAGTTCAGTAACTTTCCCAAAATTCCCACATTTTCTAGAAATCCTGGTTGGAAGATTCCCGGAATTAGAAGGGAATAATCAGGAAATGCGGAATACTCCAACGAGGAGTTCTGGAAAACCTGGGAAATTTGGTAAAGTTACCAGAACTTTGCAACCCTAGCACTGTCCTTAATGATTTGGCCAGATGAACAAAGATAAAATCCTATTATATATTTTTGCATGGCAGTTAAGTGTTCTGATATCCCCTTCCAGGACCACTACCCTCCGGATACGTTCCGCTGCCTGGTGCAGCCGGTGGGGTATGCCTTCATTAACATCAGCAGAAGTATCCAGCCCATCATCTACCTCTCTAGACTGGAGAAGATCCCTGTCCTCCCTGATGCCTGGACCAAGTGGTGCTGCTCCTCTAACGAGAAGGTCAAGGAGGTGAAGGTGGAGACCATCTCGCCTGCTTAAAGATGAACGGGCATCAAAGTTTCTTCTGAAATAAAAGTGATGGTTCTCAAAATACAGTTGTTATAAATGTAACAGCTGGACGATGGAATAAAATGAATGGCCAGTAAACAATGGATGAAAGTAATTTGCTTACATTCCATTTAGCTAATATATATACTGTATATGGCATAGATTAAGGAGCAACAAAAATATTTATCTGTCCTTCAGCTCTCTCACATCCTGGAACTCTTTGGCTAGGACTGAGGCGCCATCATTTGTACAAGATGAGAACTACATGTCTTCACCAGTAAAACGCTCAATATTGTTTTGTGAATCATTTGGGGGAAAAATATGTAATAACGCTCATATAAACATTTATTTTTCCAGTCTTTTATTGTTTTCCAGTCTTTTTCTTTGAAATTGATAATGAAGTGGAGAGGAGGTCCAGATGATCTCTATCTTTAGTTGGGTGGCTGCTAGCTTACACAGGCATTTAGAGGTACTACGTATAAACCCAGTCTTACTACCAGGGTTGGGGTCAATTCAGAAACTCAGACTGAATCGAATATAGTCCACGTTGAACATTTTGACTGTATTGAAGGTATTATGACATTTTGTTGTTATGGTGGAAAGGTAAAATATATCATGCTCCTAAAGATGTTTGACCTTTAACCAGTGGAAAGTTGTAAGAAATTGACCTCACCTGGTACTCCCCTGTTGTAAATTAGTGGTATTGAAGTAAAAAAACAGACATGTAGAAATATATAGTAGGAAACTACAGCTACACAGATGTATTTGAGGGTATTCCTTTAATAAAAAACAGTAAAAGAAAGTTAGAGGCCACACATAAGATGCAATCTAGTTCAATTACAGGACTACATGTCAGTTATTTTTTGAAAAGCATGTGCATTTAACAATATTAAATAAAATAAATCTTAGACATTTAGCCTGCTACGGTATGTCTTATTAATGTTAGATGACCTCCTGTTGTACATCTCTCCTTGGCTGTGTCCCAATAATCTCTCTTTCTTCCTGAAGTGTGCACTCGTTCACTACTCCCCCACAAATTTAAAAGCATTGGATTAGTGTTGGCATGAGCTGGACTCTAGAAGGAATTCCATATTCCAGTCATTTCCTTTGAAATCCATAAAGTGCACACTTCGGTAGAAAGGAGAGATTATTGGGACGCAGGCCATATATCCCTCCACACAGGTATCGTTATCAAACAGCCTAGTAATTTAAACAGACAGTATAGCTATTGCATTTCTCTACATTCCTGAAACCAAACATTTGATTCCATAGTTGGATGTTGAAAGACAGGTTTTTAGAACCAGAACCATGCAGTGATCGTATAATACTGATGATTATGCTATGGATGGTGTTTTTAGTTGAGAAACACTGCTTGTGTTGCATCTCAATACTCATCATTGGCTTCCTTTCCTGGTCTCCTTTCCTCGTCTCATTTCCTTCAGTACCTCTAACAGGTGAAAGGATTGGATAGCTTTCCACCATATTGCTTTTTCACCTACAGTATCATTCCTTTCCATATCACTGGTCATGAAGGAAAAGGACACAAGGAAAGGACACAAGGAAAGGGAGCTAGTTACGACTATTGAGACACAGCCACTGCTAAAAGGCCATTGTTGTTGTTTTTCCCATTCTTTTCTTATTGCCTTGGGTAACGTAACCTCAATCTCAGAGGACAAGCCAACAAGCTGTGGGTTATGGTTATGGAATGGAATGGAATTTCCACACAGCTGTTGCTTTGGAGATGCAGTTCTAACAGAAGTTATGGAACATATGTGATATGACAGAGTAGTTAGTATTCACAGAACTCAACAGTTTGTCCAGTTCGATACTTAACAGCAAGGAAGAAAGGAATCCTCATAGACAAAACCTTGAACGAGCTACAATTGACACAGAAATACTCTGGCTCTGGCTTGGTCCATCGGATTTGTTTGTTTGTTTGTGTGCGTTTGTGTGTGTGTGTGTGTGTGTGTGTGTGTGTGTGTGTGTGTGTGTGTGTGTGTGTGTGTGTGTGTGTGTGTGTGTGTGTGTGTGTGTCAGTCAGAAGACGTGGAGAAGGACAAGATTTACAAGGTTTTATAATAACAGCAAAGGCAGACGTCTCGGTGTCGCCATGATTGCTCGTTCAGGTCCTAAAGCTTCTTCCTCTTCTTCGGTATCCATCTCCAGTCCAAAATCATCTTCAAAACGACAGACAGTTCATCAGAGCACTTCAGTATAGGGACAAGCAGTCTCTGTACACAGGGTCATCATCATGGTGACACGATGTCATCAGGATGAGACGCTTTGGATCAGGGCACATCGTCCATGTTATCCTCTCTCTCTGAAGTATACACATACAGAGTACTTACTGTACCCATGGCGATACAGCTGTAGAGACAACTAGGGCTAGGTTCCAATACCCTAGCCTGGCATCCTCTCCTCACAGCTGTGGCTATAGAGACTGTTAGGGCTAGGTTCCAATACCCTAGCCTGGCTTCCTCTCCTCACAGCTGTGGCTATAGAGACTGTTAGGGCTAGGTTCCAATACCCTAGCCTGACTTACTCTCCTCACAGCTGTGGATATAGAGACAGCTAGGGCCAGGTTCAAATACCCTAGCCTGGCTTCCTCTCCTCACCTCTGGGTTGTGAGCAAAAATACACATTTCTGATCTCTGAAAGATAATGAACACTAACGTCTTCTTCTCTCTTCGTATCCTTAAGGACCACTGATCCAAAAATAAATGGATGGAACCAATTTGACAAGCAGTCAATGCCATACCGGCATATTGAATGTAACTATCCAGTCTCTTCAGATTTCAGTGGTCAGGAAGGATACAAGGAAATAGGATACAAGGAAATAGGAGATGAGAGAAGGAAGCTTTTATAGAGTATTGGAACACAGGGATGGAAAGGTTCAGTGCATCGTCATCATAGCTCATGCTGTACGTCTGTACATCTACAAACCCAACAGTAGCACCTTGGCTTTGCAGTGCTGTCTTATCGACTACGGTAAGCTCTTTGGACAAAACTGAACTGCATCTACAAGTCTCTGCCATTTCACCTCAAAACCTGCTATCCTTCCCAGTCACTCCCAGTTGAGAATCTCCCCTTCGTTCACATTCTGACAAATGCAAAATATCAACACAGAAATGTAAGTACACATACAGCTGTATTAGAAAACAGAAAAACTAGTACATTTTGCGGTTAATCGGTAAAGCAATCCCAGAACACTGACTGAAGCCTCAACTAACGATTATTTTTAAAGAGTTGTAAGTATTTTTTAAACGAACACTGGATAGCATCCTACATACAGTTTCACTGGTTGTCGCTCTCAATTTGTCTGTCTCTCTGTCTGTCTGTCTGTCTGTCTGTCTTTTAAAGGGTTGTTGGTAGTTTTTAGGTAAAGGTAGTCAGCCAAGCACAGTGTTCTCCTGAGCCCAGTGCCAAGCCACGTTGTTCTTTTGACGTCCTTGCAACGTTCTCTAAAAACGCTCTCTATGATGTTCTCCAAACGTTCTCTACTGGTGGCGCTTGTCTTTGGCTGGAACTCCTGTAGGAGACGTCTGAGCCGGCGAGCTGTGAGGGCTGAGGACGAGAGGACGAGAGGGAAGAGGGGAAGGTAAGGAGGAGGAGAGGGAAGAGAAGGAGAGGATGAAATGCAAAAAAAGGGAAGAGAGGCTAGATTTTTGATTAGTTTGTTGAAACGTATAAGGTGACAATACATTGATAATACACTTTAAGAAATGGCCACACAAGTTCAGCAAACTCAAAAGTTCCAAGCCAATTACATTCTAGATAGCAATAATCAATATTAGCGTCATTGCAGTGTTCAAGGTTGGAGTTACAGACGTAGAGAGATTTGGAGCACAGAGCAAACACCACAGACTATGGCTATCAACGACTCAGAGGCCAAACACCACAGACTATGGCTATCATAGCATCAGAGGCCAAACACCACAGACTATGGCTATCAACGACTCAGAGGCCAAACACCACAGACTATGGCTATCATAGCATCAAGAGGCCAAACACCACAGACTATGGCTATCAACGACTCAGAGGCCAAACACCACAGACTATGGCTATCATAGCATCAGAGGCCAAACACCACAGACTATGGCTATCAACGACTCAGAGGCCATATTCCATCTAGATCCAGATGGGTTATCAGTGGAAGTAAGTGCTGATCATACTTACTCTGCGGCCCGGTTAGGGTCCATGGCTGGGTCAGGTGGTTCACCCCCCTCTGAGTCACTGAGAGGGGCTGTATCATCGGTGCTGCTCAGGGTTCTGACCCCCTCCACCAGCTCCCTGGCCTCTGCAGCTAGCTGGCAGGCTGGGTCTAGTATGGGAGAGGGGGTATCTGGACTGTCTGTGGCTGGAGAGGTCCTGTTACCCCTGGAGAATGCAGGATACATATTAGTACAAACAAGAACACACACACACGTGCACACACACACACACACGCACGTGCACACACACACACACACACACACACACACACACACACATGCACACACACACGTGCACACACACACCCTCCAGTGATATCAACAGACTGTAAGAATGAACAAAAGTTTGAAGGGTTCTCATAAAGGAGATACATTTGGAAGATAAGCACTTACCCATTTTCCATTCCAAACAAGCTGGGGGTGGTGAGCACTTTGTGAACATTCTGAGAAATAAACAGTCAGCCAGTTAGTCAGCCAGCCAGTTAGTCAGTCAGCCAGCCAGTCAGTCAGTCAGTCAGTTAGTCAGTCAGCCAGTCAGCCAGTCAGCCAGTCAGTCAGTCAGTCAGTCAGTCAGTCAGTTAGTCAGTCAGTCAGTCAGTCAGCACAGAAATCCACATTCATAAAACTAAAAAGTAGTTTTGAGCCAGTAGGAGGCAGTACAGGTTCAGAACATCAAAGAGCACAACTAGAGGCGTCAGCTATGGCTCACAGGTAGGTGTGTTACAGAACCTGTGTGACTGTGTTTACAGCTGAGAAGTGGACAGGTAGTGTTGTTGTAAAGGTGTGTTACTGTGTTACAGGTGTAATGTTACCTGTGCGAAGCCCAGTAGTTTCTTGTTGGAGATCTCCAGGTGTCTTCTGCTCAGCTCAGACTTCCTCAGCTGACAGCCAATCATCGACAACTTCCTGTTTAACTCCATCACATCCTCCTGGGGTACAACACACAGAACAACTTCCTGTTTAACTCCATCACATCCTCCTGGGATACAACACACAGAACAACTTCCTGTTAAACTCCATCACATCCTCCTGGGGTACAACACACAGAACAACAGTCAGTAGATGTACTAGCAAGTACACATAGCAAGTACACTAGCAGTACACATAGCAAGTACAAGTACACTATTTGTTCTGAATTCAGAATTAGGAGTAACTGGTGTAGGTTTGGCGTTAAAGTAAGGGTCAGTGGAAAAGTGTAAAAAACATACATTAAGACAGAACGAGAGCTGTGTAGAGACAGGGAAGAAAGGGGTTTTGCACACTGGATCTCTGATTGTAAGGCTTAATTTATGGTAGAAAAGACTAGTGTTGTCCTGGTGGGTCACAGTAATTTATGGTAGAAAAGACTAGTGTTGTCCTGGTGGGTCACAGTAATGTATGGTAGAAAAGACTAGTGTTGTCCTGGTGGGTCACAGTAATTTATGGTAGAAAAGACTAGTGTTGTTCTGGTGGGTCACAGTAATTGATCATAGAAAAGACTAGTGTTGTTCTGGTGGGTCACAGTAATTTATGGTATAAAAGACTAGTGTTGTCCTGGTGGGTCACAATAATTTATGGTAGAAAAGACTAGTGTTGTCCTGGTGGGTCACAGTAATGTATGGTATAAAAGACTAGTGTTGTCCTGGTGGGTCACAGTCATTATGGGTAGAAAAGACTAGTGTTGTTTCTGGTGGGTCACAGTAATTATGGTAGAAAAAAGACTAGTGTTGTCCTGGGGTGGGGTCACAGTAATTTATGGTAGAAAAAGACTATGTTGTTCTGTGGGTCACAGTAATTTATGGTAGAAAAAGACTAGTGGTTGTCCTGGTGGGTCACATAATTGATCATAAAAAGACTTTTTGTTTTCGGGGGGGTCCAATTGATCATAAAAAACAGTGTTTTTTCTGGGGGGTACAAATTTTTATGGTTAAAAGCTATGTTTTTGGGTGGGGGGCCAGAAGTATGGTGAAAAACTATGTTGTCCGGGGGGTCACAGTCTTTAGGGTAGAAAAGACTGTGTTGTCCTGGTGGGTCCAGATTTATGGAAAAAAGACTAGTGTTGTTCTGGGGGGTCACAGTAATTTTGGGTAGAAAAACTGGGTTTTGTCCTGGGGGGGCCAGTAATTTTGGTAGAAAAGACTATTTTGGGGGTTTCTGGGGGGTCCAGTAATATTGGTAAAAAAGTTAGTGTTGTTCAGTGGGTCCATAATTTATGGTAGAAAAGACTAGTGTTTTTTTCTGGTGGGTCCAGAAATTTATGGTAAAAAAGATAGTGTTGTTCTGGTGGGCCAGTTTTTTATGGTAAAAAAGACTAGTGTTGCCCTGGTGGGTCACATAATTTATGGTAAAAAGACTGTGTTGTTCTGGGGGTCACGTAATTAGGGTAAAAGATTAGTGTTTTTTTAAGGGGGGCCGTATTTAGGGGAAAAAAGACAGTTTGTTCTGGGGGGTCACTAATTTTGGTGAAAAAGCAGTTTTTGCCCTGGGGGGTCACAAAATTTAAATGGAAAAGAAAAAACTATTTTGGGGGGTTTCTGGTGGGTCAAGTTTTTATGGTAGAAAAGACAGGGGGTTGTCCTGGGGGGGTCACAGAAATTTTTAGGGTAACAAGACAGTTTGTCCTGGTGGGTAAAGTAGTATGGGAAAGCTATTTTTTGGGGTGGTCACGTAATTAAAACAAAAAAAGACTAGTGTTTTTTCTGGGGGGGCACGGAATTTATGGTTAAAACTATGTTGCCTGGTGGTCACAGTAATTTAGGGTAAAAAATACTTGTTGTCCGGGGGGTCACGTAATTTAGGTAAAAAAGACTATGTTGCCCTGGGGGGTCACGTCATTTTGGAAAAAAAGACTAGTGTTTTTTTCTGGTGGGTCACAGTAATTTATGGTAGAAAGACTAGTGTTGTCCTGGTGGTCACAGAAATTTTTATGGTAGAAAAGACTAGTGGTGTTCGGGGGGTCACAGTAATATAGGGAAAAAGTTTAGTGTTGTTCTAGTGGGTCAAGAATTTATGGTAAAAAAAACTGTGTTGTTCGGGGTGGTTCCACGAATTTTTGGAAAAAAGACTAGTGTGTCCTTTTGGGGGCTCACTTTAAATTTATGGTAAAAAGACTAGTGTTGTCCTGGTGGTCACAAAATTTAGGTAGAAAAGACTAGTTTTTTTCGGTGGGTCACAGTAAATTTTGGTAAAAAGACTATGTTGTCCTGGGGGGTCCAGAAATTTTTATGGTAGAAAAGACTAGTGTTGTCCGGGTGGTCCAGTAATGATGGAGAAAGACTAGTGTTGCCGGTGGTCACAAAATTTTGGTAGAAAGAAGTTTTGTTCTGGTGGGTCACAGTAATTTATGGTAGAAAAGACTAGTGTTGTTCTGGTGGGTCACAGTAATTTATGGTAGAAAAGACTAGTGTTGTTTGGTGGGTCCCCGTTCATAGGCTCACAGTATTTAGGTAGAAAAGACTAGTGTTGTCTGTGGGTCACGTAATTTATGGAGAAAAGACTAGTGTTGTCCTGGTGTCACCGTCAAGTAATAGTGTTGTCCTGGTGGGTCACAGTAAAATGTATGGTAAAAGGACTAGTGTTTCCTGGTGGGTCCACAGTAATTTATGGTAGAAAGACTAGTGTTGTTCTGGTGGGTCACAGTAATTTGCATGTTGGTTTGTTCGGTGGGTCACAGTAATTTATGGTAGAAAAGACTAGTGTTGTGCTGGTGGGTCACAGTAATTTATGGTAGAAAAGACTAGTGTTGTCCTGGTGGGTCACAGACACTTGTCTGGGTTGTTTCAGAAATCGAGAGGTCTGCTACCCCTCCACTGCGACCAACATTCACGTCTTTTTGTCTGCTTTGTGGTCACTTGTGTCTACGGCCCACCCAGACGACACTAGTCTTTTTCTATCATAAATTGGTTTTAAGTCTACCTTAGTAGCCTCCAGACCCTTCTGTTTCCTGCCCGCCAGTTGGTTCTTCAGGTCTTTGATCTCAGCCTCCAGCAGTGTAATGACCTCTTCATAGTCCTGCTCTGCACTGTTACTATGTCTCTCGCTCTGCAGGGGAAGAAGAAAAGAAGAAGAAGAAGAAGAAGAAGAAGAAGAAGAAGAAGAAGAAGAAGAAGAAGAAGAAGAAGAAGAAGAAGAAGAAGAAGAAGAAGAAGAAGAAGAAGATGATAAAGGAGAAGAATTGTACCCAAGGTCCAATGGAAATTCTACTTCGGCTTTATCCCCTCGGAAAGACACACATACACACACATAGAAGTTGGAGCAGGGGGCAGCCATACTGCAGAGACCATGGAGCAGGGGGCAGCCATACTGCAGAGACCATGGAGCAGTTGTGTGGGTGAAGAGTCTTGTCTTGTTTTGTGGTTTATTAGAAGATTAATATTACCTGCAGACGAGTCTTCAGACGACTGTTCTCCTCCACCGTCGCACACGCTTTCTGATGGAGGGAGGGAGGGAGGGAGGGGGGAGAAAGAGCAAGAATGAGAGTGTGTTAATACAACTATGCCTGGCAAAGAGATACGATATGATACGATACGATAGGATATGATATGATATGATGGGATACGATGGGATATGATGGGATATGATGGGATATGATAGGATAGGATAGGATAGGATATGATATGATATGATGGGATAAGATGGGATATGATGGGATATGATAGGATAGGATATGATATGATATGATATGATGGGATATGAAGGGATATGATGCTATATACTAAACTGTAATACAATATAATACTACTGATTCATTAATCCATCCATTAGCATTGTGATTGGCTGAATCCGGTTGTCACTCACATCTGAGGTGCTGTGTAGCTCCTCCTCCAGGGTCGTCTTGCTGTGCTCTGTCTCCTTCAGGGAGACCTGGGGTAGTTTAGGAAAACCAGCAGGTTGACTGACATGGGGTAGTTTATGAAAACCAGCAGGTTGACTGACCTGGGGTAGTTTAGGAAAACCAGCAGGTTGACTGACATGGGGTAGTTTAGGAAAACCAGCAGGTTGACTGACATGGGGTAGTGTAGGAAAACCAGCAGGTTGACTGACCTGGGGTAGTGTAGGAAAACCAGCAGGTTGACTGACCTGGGGTAGTGTAGGAAAACCAGCAGGTTGACTGACCTGGGGTAGTGTAGGAAAACCAGCAGGTTGACTGACATGGGGTAGTGTAGGAAAACCAGCAGGTTGACTGACCTGGGGTAGTGTAGGAAAACCAGCAGGTTGACTGTGACTTGACTGTGAACAAAGTTAAAGTCAATTCAAAGTTACTCTGATACACATTGCAACATTGTAACATTGTAACATTGCAACATTGTACCATTGTACCATTGCAACATTGTAACATTGTATATTTGTGTATAAACATTTACATGAGTACATATACTGTACATGGTGTATGAAAATTAACAATTTACACTGAACAAAAATATAAACGCAACATGCAACAATTTCAAAGATTTTACTGAGTTACAGTTCATATAAGGAAATCAGTAAATTGAAATAAATTCATTAGGCCCTAATCTATGGATTTGACATGACTGGGAATACAGATACGCATCCGTTGGTCACAGATACCTTTAAAAAAAGGTAGGGGCATGGATCAGAAAACCAGTCAGTATCTGGTGTGACCACCATTTGCTTCATGCAGCAGGACACATCTCCTTCGCATAGAGTTGATCAGGCTGTTGATTGTGGAATGTGGTATGTTGTCCCACTCCTCTTCAATGGCTGTGCGAAGTTGCTGGATATTGGCGGGAACTGGAACACGGTGTCGTACACATCGATCCAGAGCATCCCAAACATGCTCAATGGGTGACATGTCTGGTGAGTATGCAGGCCATGGAAGAACTGGGACATTTTCAGCTTCCAGGAATTGTGTACAGATTCTTGCAACATGGGGCAGTGCATTATCATGCTGCAACATGAGGTGATGGCGGCGGATGAATGGCACGACAATGGGCCTCAGGATCTTGTCACGGTATCTCTGTGCATTCAAATTGCCATCGATAAAATGCAATTGTGTTCGTTGTCCGTAGCTTACGCCTGCCCATACCATAACCCCACCACCACCATGGGGCACTCTGCTCACAACGTTTACATCAGCAAACCGCTCGTCCACACGACGCCATACACTCTTTCTGCCATCTGCCCAGTACAGTTGAAACCGGGATTCATCCGTGAAGAGCACACTTCTCCAGCGTGCCAGTGACCATCGAAGGTGAGCATTTGCCCACTGAAGTCGGTTACGACGTCGAACTGCAGTCAGATCAAGACCCTGGTGAGGACGACGAGCACGCAGATGAACTTCCCTGAGACGGTTTCTGACAGTTTGTGCAGAAATTCTTCAGTTGTGCAAACCCACAGTTTCATCAGCTGTCCGGGTGGCTGGTCTCAGACGATCCCGCAGGTGAAGAAGCCAGATGTGGAGGTCCAGGGCTGGCGTGGTTACATGTGGTCTGCGATTGTGAGGCCGGTTGGACGTACTGTCAAATTCTCTAAAATGATGTTAGAGGTGGCTTATGGTAGAGAAATTAACATTAAATTATCTGGCAACAGCTCTGGTGGACATTCCTGCAGTCAGCATGCCAATTGTATGCTCGCTTAAAACTTGAGACATCTGTGGCATTGTATTGTGTGACAAAACTGCACATTTTAAAGTGGCCTTTTATTGTCCCCAGCACAAGGTGCACCTGTGTAATGATTATGCTGTTTAATCAGCTTCTTGATATGCCACACCGGTCAGGTGGATGGACTATCTTGGTTAAGAAGAAATGCTCACTAACAGGGATGTAAACAAATTTGTCCACAAAATTTGAGAAGAATAAGCTTTTTGTGCGTATGGAACATTTCTGGGATATTTTATTTCAGCTCATGAAGCATGGGACCATCACTTTACATGTTGTGTTTATATTTTTTGTTCAGTATAGTTATAAATTACCACAAAAAAAAGTTTTTTGTTCAACATTCCATTATCCGGTGATTTATAAAATCTACATTATATCGTGTTATAAATGTAAAAGTTATTAGTTATGTTGAGAAAAGCTATTAGATTACCCAGTGGTTATAACACTATCAGTTGCAGTGGATATCTGAAAATGACTGTTAATAAATTTTAATGTAATTGAATGTGATATTCACAGCTCTCTCTCTCTCTCTCTCTCTCTCTCTCTCTCTCTCTCTCTCTCTCTCTCTCTCTCTCTCTCTCTCTCTCTCTCTCTCTCTCTCTCTCTCTCTCTCTCTCTCTCTCTCTCTCTCTCTCTCTCTCTCTCTCACACACACACACACACTGACGTGATGTTTGGACAGAAGTGTGAGTTCACCTTGAGTTGTTTAATCTGGTTCTGCAGCTGTTTCACCTCCGTCTGAAAGTGTTCCAGCTCTTCACTACTGTAGGAGCATTCTGAATCAAAGGTCTGATACACAACACAGCAATAGCATTAGACTGGGGGTGGGGGGGTGTCTCTCTCTCTCTCTCTCACACACACACCTACGCATTGTACGTGCACACACACCCAAGCACACACACACTCATACATACAAAGATGTGAGAAGCACAGCCCTCATCTGACAGGGAACATCACAATGGAGGCAGGCAGCTCTTAAAGACTGTCTGTGTGTGTGTGTCTGTGTGTGTGTGTGTGTGTGTGTGTGTGTGTGTGTGTGTGTGTGTGTGTGTGTGTGTGTGTGTGTGTGTGTGTGTGTGACAGCTTTGATGATTCCCTTGTGCTGCTGCTGCACGGTGTAAATCTCCTCTAAGAAACACGGTTTGTAAATCCTCTTCACTAACTCAAACTTCACAAAGTAACACAAGCCTCAAAGTCAGGAGGACTTTAATAAACCCACTACTTTGAAACAAGAAGCACAAGTCAATGTTGTTTTCTTTAATCCCTGTGTGTGTGTGTGTGTGTGTGTGTGTGTGTGTGTGTGTGTGTGTGTGTGTGTGTGTGTGTGTGTGTGTGTGTGTGTGTGTGTGTGTGTGTGTGTGTGTGTGCGTGTTCGTGTGTGTGTGTGTGTGGGCTTACCGGGGAGTGGAAGGCGGAGGTGTCCATCAAGCTAGCTGCTTCGTGATAGGAGAACATGAACTCTTTCTGCCCTAGTCCCGCCTCCTCCAGCTTCTCTTGGTAGACGTTGCGTGTGGCCTCAACGAAGTCTGCCCGACGACAACAAATGCAAAAGAAGGGTTATACTCTAAATAAATAAAACATGAGGAGCCAATCGGAACCCCTTATTATGTAGTAGCTTGTGAAAAGGGAGCCATCGAGGACACAGACTGTGTCTGAACAGGGTAAAGGGATATTGGTGTGGCTGGGTTGGGTTGGGGTCAAGTCCATATTAATTCAGTCAATTCATGTTTACTCAATACTTCTCTTTGAGATTTTTTATCGTGTGGAATTTGTGTTTACCACCTGAATTGACTGAATTGAAATGGATGGCGCTGATAGACATGGCCGCTCTGTTTCTAGCTCCTACGCAACTTTGCACTATTTCGTTTTTATGTGTGTTATTTCTTACATTATCAGCCCAGAAAGTTTTTGTGCGTTATTACTTCCAGCATTTCGACCAGAAATACGATTTTCCTGAATTGGATCCTTTGTTCATACCCCCCAAGGCGATTTAACTTATCCCAGAGTAAGACGTTTAAGCGTGTTAACCCTCGCAAGGCTGCCGTCCCAGACGGCATCCCTAGCCGCGTCCTCAGAGCATGCACAGACCAGCTGGCTGGAGTGTTTACGGACCTATTCAATCTCTCCCTATCCCAGTCTGCTGTCCCCACTTGCTTCAAGATGGCCACCATTGTTCCTGTACCCAAGAAAGCCAAGGTAACTGAACTAAAAGACTATCGCCCCGTAGCACTCACTTCTGTCATCATGAAGTGCTTTGAGAGGCTAGTTAAGGATCATATCACCTCTACCTTACTTGACACCCTAAACCCACTGCAATTTGCATACCGCCCCAATAGATCCACGGATGATGCAATCGCCATCGCACTGCACAATGCCCTCATTTCAACTGGACAAGAGGAATACCTATGTGAGAATGCTGTTAGTTGACTACAGCTCAGCCTTAATTAGGCTCGGGGCCCTGGGTCTGAACCCCGCCCTGTGCAACTGGGTACTGGACATCCTGACGGGCCGCCCCCAGGTGGTGAAGGTAGGTAACAACACCTCCACTATGCTGATCCTCAATACAGGGGCACCACAAGGGTGTGTGCTCAGCCCCTCCTGTACTCGAAGACACAACAGTGGTAGGCCTGATTACCAACAACAACAAGACAGAGTACAAGGAGGAGGTGAGGGCCCTGGCCGAGTGGTACCAGGAAAATTACCTCTCCCTCAACGTCAACAAAATGAAGGAGCTGATCGTGGACTTCAGGAGACAGCAGAGGGAGCACCCCCTATCCACATCGACGGGACCGCAGTGGAGAAGGTGAAAAGCTTCAAGTTCCTCAGCGTACAGATCACTGACAATCTGAAATGGTCCACCCACACACACAGTGTGGTGAAGAAAGCGCAACAGCGCCTCTTCAAACTCAGGAGGCTGAAGAAATGTGGCTTGCCCCCTAAGACCCACAAACTTTTACAGATGCACCATTGAGAGCATCCTGTTGGGCTGTATCACCGCCTGGCAACCGCAGGCCTCTCTAGAGGGTGGTGCGGTCAGTCCAACGCATCACCGGGGGCACACTGCCTGCCCTCCAAGACATCTACAGCACCCGGTGTCACAGGAAGGCCAAGAATATCATCAAGGACCTCAGCCACCGGAGCCACGGCCTGTTCACCCCGCGAAGGTGAGGTCAGTACAGATGCATCAAAGCTGGGACCGAGAGACTGAAAAACAGCTTCTATCTCAAGGCCATCAGACTGTTAAATAGCCATCACTAGCCGGCCTCCACCCAGTACACTGCCCTGAACTTAGTCACTGTCACTTGCCGGCTACCACCCGTTTACTCAACCCTGCACCTTAGAGGCTGCTGCCCTATGTACATAGACATGGAACACTGGTCACTTTAATAATGGAACACTGGTCACTTTAATAATGGAACGCTGGTCACTTTAATAATGGAACACTGGTCACTTTAATAATGGAGCACTGGTCACTTTAATAATGTCTACATACTGTTTTAGCCATGTCATATGTATTCTAGTCAAGGCCATCCTATGCAACTATTGCTGTACATTATACTATTCTATCCTACGTATCCTACATACAGTGGGGGAAAAAAGTATTTAGTCAGCCACCAATTGTGCATGTTCTCCCACTTAAAAAGATGAGAGAGGCCTGTAATTTTCATCACAGGTACACGTCAACTATGACAGACAAAATGAGAAAAAAAAATCCAGAAAATCACATTGTATGATTTTCTATGAATTTATTTGCAAATTATGGTGGAAAATAAGTATTTGGTCAATAACAAAAGTTTCTCAATACTTTGTTATATACCATTTATTGGCAATGACACAGGTCAAACGTTTTCTGTAAGTCTTCACAAGGTTTTCACACACTGTTGCTGGTATTTTGGCCCATTCCTCCATGCAGATCTCCTCTAGAGCAGTGATGTTTTGGGGCTGTCGCTGGGCAACACGGACTTTCAACTCCCTCCAAAGATTTTCTATGGGGTTGAGATCTGGAGACTGGCTAGGCCACTCCAGGACCTTGAAATGCTTCTTACGAAGCCACTCCTTCGTTGCCCGGGCGGTGTGTTTGGGATCATTGTCATGCTGAAAGACCCAGCCACGTTTCATCTTCAATGCCCTTGCTGATGGAAGGAGGTTTTCACTCAAAATCTCACGATACATGGCTCCATTCATTCTTTCCTTTACACGGATCAGTCGTCCTGGTCCCTTTGCAGAAAAACAGCCCCAAAGCATGATATTTCCACCCCCATGCTTCACAGTAGGTATGGTGTTCTTTGGATGCAACTCAGCATTCTTTGTCCTCCAAACACGACGAGTTGAGTTTTTACCAAAAAGTTCTATTTTGGTTTCATCTGACCATATGACATTCTCCCAATCCTCTTCTGGATCATCCAAATGCACTCTAGCAAACTTCAGACAGGCCTGGACATGTACTGGCTTAAGCAGGGGGACACGTCTGGCACTGCAGGATTTGAGTCCCTGGCGGCGTAGTGTGTTACTGATGGTAGGCTTTGTTACTTTGGTCCCAGCTCTCTGCAGGTCATTCACTAGGTCCCCCCGTGTGGTTCTGGGATTTTTGCTCACCGTTCTTGTGATCATTTTGACCCCACGGGGTGAGATCTCGCGTGGAGCCCCAGATCGAGGGAGATTATCAGTGGTCTTGTATGTCTTCCATTTCCTAATAATTGCTCCCACAGTTGATTTCTTTAAACCAAGCTGCTTACCTATTGCAGATTCAGTCTTCCCAGCCTGGTGCAGGTCTACAATTTTATTTCTGGTGTCCTTTGACAGCTCTTTGGTCTTGGCCATAGTGGAGTTTGGAGTGTGACTGTTTGAGGTTGTGGACAGGTGTCTTTTATACTGATAACAAGTTCAAACAGGTGCCATTAATACAGGTAACGAGTGGAGGACAGAGGAGCCTCTTAAAGAAGTTGTTACAGGTCTGTGAGAGCCAGAAATCTTGCTTGTTTGTAGGTGACCAAATACTTATTTTCCACCATAATTTGCAAATAAATTCATAAAAAATCCTACAATGTGATTTTCTGGATTTTCTTTCCTCAATTTGTCTGTCATAGTTGACGTGTAGCTATGATGAAAATTACAGGCCTCTGTCATCTTTTTAAGTGGGAGAACTTGCACAATTGGTGGCTGACTAAATACTTTTTTTCCCCACTGTATATACTATATATTCTATCCACATACTGTCCATAATGTCTATACATCCCATCACACACACTGTATATATATATTTATTCTCCGGATTCCGACATTGCTCTTCCTAATATTTATATGTTTCTTCTTTACTTTTAGATTTGTGTGTATTGTTGTGAATTGTTATATATTACTGCACTGTTGGAGCTAGGAATTTAGCTCCACCCACAATAACATCTGCTAAATATGTGTATGCGACCAATACAATTTGATTTGATTTGAATTGACCCCAAACCCTGGTAACTATGATAACGGTATACCTCTGTAGGACACGGTTCCCTGTGGGTCAGTGGTAGCTTTGGTGACAGTAGGTGTGTGGTAGCTATGGTGACAGTAGGTGTGTAGTAGCTATGGTGACAGTAGGTGTGTAGTAGCTATGGTGACAGTATACCTCCGTAGGACACGGTTCCCTGTGGGTCAGTGGTCAGACTTTGTCTCAGCTTCCTTCTCTTCTCCTCTGTCACGTCCAGACCCAGGTACGACAACGCCTGGTCGTGGTGGGGGGGGGGGGTGGGTGAGAGAGAGAGAGGGGAGGAGAGAGAGGGCGGAATGGGGTGAGAGAGAGAGATTCGGGAGAAGAGAGAGAGGTGGGATAGAGAAGAGAGAGGGCGGCGAGAGAGGATCTCTCTCGGGGTCTGAGAGAGCCTTTTTCAGCTAGCGGCTTTTCCTCTGAGTGGGGATAGCCTCGAGACTGAGGGGAAGAGGGAAGACTGCAATGATTCAAGACAGAGAGGGGGAGGAGAACGGAGAGGAGAGAGAGTGAGTAAGTAAAAATTTCATGTCACATGATGGTAAATCCCTGCTCACTGAGGACATGGTGTATGTGTGGTTGAAGTCCAATTCCTGCAGGGGGCGGTATAACAGTAGTATAACACCACCAAGCTCTCTTTTCCTTGAACTTGGTTGACAACATCTCTACACTAGACAAATTATAGATATTCTACCTGTTGCTCTCTCTCTCTCTCTCTCTCGGTTCTGGTTATCTCTCTCTCTCTCCTCTCTCTCTCTCTCTCTCTCTCTCTCTCTCTCTCTCTCTCTCTCTCTCTCTCTCTCTCTCTCTCTCCTCTCTCTCTCCCTCCCTCCCTCCCTCCCTCCCTCCTATCCTCAATCATTTGGAAAGAATATACTGTCTTCATGAGGGAGATCATATTATAAAGTGTCTGTGTGTTGTTCATTCAACCTAAACTAACCCTGTCTCTGTTGGATGTCACCACAGTGAACCAGTACAGTAAAGCTGTAGGGCATTGTGTCTGTGTGCGACATTAAAGTGCTCCCCCCTGCAATGCAACTCGTACCAGGCAGGAACCAGAGGCAGGGAGCAAGGACTAGAGCCAAGGACAGGGCATAATCCCATTAATGAGACCGTGGTAGATTAGGGTCAGTCACAGACTGAGTGAGATTAAGATTAGATTAAAATCACTGCTAAACAACTGCAGTGGGCGTCCATGACAAAACTACAGGCACAGCAGAGATACAGAGATACATGAGGAATGGAGAGAGAGGAGAGGAGATAGAATAGAGAGAGATAGGAGAGAGAGAGAGAGAGAGAGAGAGAGAGAGAGAGAGAGAGAGAGAGAGAGAGAGAGAGAGAGAGTAGAGAGAGAGAGAGAGAGAGAGAGAGAGATTAGATCCAACCAAATCATGGGAAAACAAAAATATAATTACTTGACACATTGGAAAGAATTAACAAAAAAACTGAGCAAACTAGAATGCTATTTGGCCCTCAACAGAGAGTACACAGTGGCAGAATACCTGACCACTGTGACCGCCACACCGGTGGTCACGAGTCATGAAGGCTCTCAAATTCCACGTGACCGTTTAGTCATGGTAACTAGGCTGACATCAGTGCAAATGTAATCGAAAATCTAATCAAACACTTCATGAGAGCCCATGAGCTCATCTTGCGCAACATTTCTATAGGCTATGCAATTGCGTGAGAAAACAGAGTGATGGCCTCTACTAAAAAGAGGAGGATCCCATCAGCTTTCTATAGGCTAGGCCTACTATATTTATTTCTCAACTTTCCTAATATTAAGCACATTTTTTATCTTTACAACAGGAGTATAGCCTACCTGGCTGGCATGAAAATGAACCACCGGAAAAGCGTCCTCCATTTGCTATTTAAGTGCATAGATGACTTTTTTTTTTCCCCCCTGCCCATGTTTCGAGACAGGTGCATGATAATGGTCCATTCTAAATCAAAACAAATTCCCCACATACATTATTTAGTATATGTAAAGACAACATTAAATCAAGAATAGTGGGATGGGTGACAATATTAGCCTATGACTTGTGAATGATATATTATCACTTGTGAATGATACCCAACATAAGAAACAGCCTTTTTTGGGGGGGACTTTTTCTAATCATAGTCACACACCTCATGTAGCCTAGCCCATAGGCCTATATGTTTTGATAAGGTTTGTATCACAACTAAAGTGGCCAAAGAACTTCTTAAAATTAAGCACATTAATCCGCTTTACAAGGGGTGTAGAGCCTAACTGGCATACAAAAGCAGCGCATGAGTTTCTAGTTTGGGGAAGATAATTTTCACCATAAAAATGCACTTTTATAATAAAAGCAATACATGCATAATCGCATTTGCGGTCACTTTTGATAAAGGTGTTTTCCTGCTAATGGGACATTCTCGCTTATAGCCTA